ACCAATTAAAATGGACTTTTGTGCACAGCAATTAAGTTAGAAATTGGAAAAAAATTAATAGATTATAATTTATTACAATCAGCTATAAATGTATCGAAAAATAAATGAGTTGATAATCTATTATAACTGATTAAAATTAATTATGATTGCTCATAATTTGTTTTCAAACAGGAGATTATAATCAATTATTTAATAATTCAAACACAAAATTCATAGTCAATATATAAATATTTATATATGTATATATATATATATATATATATATATATATATATATATAGATATACGTATCTCTACTTATAGCCGATTAATAGTTGATTGTATTACGTTTTTTTTTTAAATTTAGTATAACTGGATGCGGGTCCGATTTTCACTGCAGATTCCCGTTTTACTGAAAATCTAAACAAAACTTATAGCTTTGCTAAATGCTAACTAGACTACTTATATAAAACAAAACTGAGAAATTTTATGGCGTAATTGCTTCAATGTCAATTCATGAAGCATTCAAAACTGACAGTGAATTGAAAGTAATTTAAAATTATTTTTAGTAATTTAAAATTATTTTCAGTAGTTTGGTTGTCAAAATCAATAAATTCAATGATAATAATTACAAATACTTCCACCAAGATTTTGATTTTGAACAACTATTCTATAATTTCAAATTTTGGCTAATTTACCCTTCAAAAAATTAATTATGACCGCAACTCTAAAAATCTTACTCAAAGTTTTTTAGTTGAGTAGTTAGTCAAAACGGGTTTCTAAAGTTTTAACTTCAGCCATTTGCTGGAACCAATAGTAACAAAAAAACAAAAAGATTATAGTAAGCCCATAATTTTTATGTAAATTTTGATGTTATGTCTTAGTCACGATCTAAATTGTGCTTTTTGTGAATTTTAAGCGAATTCAGCATCAGGCCAAAATCAGAATTGAGCACCTAATAAGCAACAGAGCTATTGTTCTTTAATATTCTATGCTTTTTGGATTCCACCAACAAATAGCTCAAACAATGTATTGCTCAAACAAACTTTGCGGAAATTGTAACTGGAATCCACAAACTGTAAGCGAAATCTGCAAAAGTAGATGGAATCTGCATACATTTGCGGAATTCAATTACATTTGTGGAATCCACTTACATTTGCGGAATCTGCTTACACTTGCGAATTCCGGAACAACTATCTATAATGGCTCGTTGCGGTAATCGCAACAAAACTAGTGTAAAGAGAAAATTTACGCCGAAGATATTTCTACGCGGAATTCCACGGAAATTTTGTATATTGGCACCACTTACATTTTGGAATATGTTTAAAGACTTGTCTCAGGAATCCAGGAACAAATAGAAACAAGTTGTGCGCCTATTCAGTGCAAAGTTTGGCCTCGTAATGCATGTTCCTGGCTTCTTTAGTCTCAACTGAGTTTGGGAAAATCTGGTTGAATCTATTTAAGTAAACAATTAGTTATTATG